GTTATTTGATATCCAAACCTTGAAACTTAAAAAATTATATGCACTCCGAGCAAAGGTCGTTCAACCTGTTAACTAATTCATAAAAACGTCCAATGTAGCTGAATAATTTTGTTTTCTTACAGTTGGCAACCCTTTGCAAAAAAATTAAAATGCGCTAAGTTACGCTTTGAATCCATGTCTAGATGGTTGGCAGCCCTTTGAAAAATTGTTTACAGACTAAAATTTGCCAAGTTACCATTTTTACTCATTTAATCGCGACCATAAAAGAGGCCGAACTCTGGCTTGTCGATCCTTTCTCTTAACCTCTGCATTCAGTAACTATATACTCCGATAGCTAAGCAGTTATCAAGTCACTACATAGACTGCTGTGAGACCTTGACAATAACTGGGAAAGTCCTCATCGATATATGTAGCTCCAAAGTCTACTACTCATATTGTGCGACCGTCCAGGCCACTGAGACATTCGAGCTAATTGTGCAGCGGACGAACTTGCGAGGAAAGGGATCACTCTGTCGTCGGATAAGGAGGGAATCGGAAGAACCCAAGCGTGAGACAACGCGACAAATCTGGCCCAGCATCGACAATAAAAGATCCGAAGCACTCATTCGGTTAGAATGCCCTCTACAAAGGCTGGTGGGCCGTATTATTACGCGCCACTGCTAAATAGGAAGGCATGCTAGGAGAATGGGTTTACCGGCCAATGATTTCTGCCGTAGATGCCGCGACGTGGACGAAATCGGGAGTATGGAACACTATGTCAGCCCTGTCCTTATGTGAGTGAGAATACGATCATTTCAACACCATCTTCTTGTCTGTCTGACCGACCCAAGTGAAGCAGGTATTCACTTTTCGGTTGTGAGCTCGGAAAAATATATACAAATATACATAAATCATGGAAAATGCCCATAAATATATTTATATTTACATACGTATTTACCTACATATTCACAATTTAGCGACTACTCAAAGCTCTAACTCGATTTAAATTATTTTTTTTAACCAAAACTCATTCAGTGATTAAGTTCGCAGTTCCGCTCTTGTTGTCGGGCAAATTTCACGCGTTTTTTACCTTTTCAACAATTTCTAACCTCATTTTATACATGCATACATGCTAACATACATATATACATAGTACACTTTTTGCTGTAAATTTCAAATTTTGTTTTTTTTTTTTTCAAAGCTAAAATGTTTTTGCGTAGGCATTTGACCACAACTTTTAATTTAAATACCCGATGACTGTCACAGTGGGGGTCCCAAACGGGTGATTGAAATTCGCTTCATCGACTTGTTGACGACCGGTTGCTGCTTGGTTGGTCGGTTGGTTAGCTGCCTGCCATTTATCGAACTGATACAACCTCTGCGGTCTCAGAGGAAGAGGGCCAACGCGGCCCTCAAACAGGCACCCAGCTATCCGGCCGGTCAGAGTCAGAGTCAGCTATTCCGAGGCACCAAAGCAGTTGTGTTTTTTGTTTGCTTTCTTTCTATTTTTTCACTGTCTGTTTAACTCGTTGTTGGCGTATGTATGTAGTTTAATGGCGATTTTAATTAAATACGACACAGTATTGCTATGCGTTGTTTGATAAGAATAAGTAGCAACCTGCCTGCCGTCCCTCCGTCCGTCCGTCTGTCCGACCGTCCACCGTGTGTGACATTTCGACATTTGTGGCAAATTGCCGGTGTTGTGTGTTGATTTGCATGCCTGCAGCTTGTCTGGTCACATATTCGTATGCTCAGCTGGTATGTATGTATATTATATATATGTATGGCTAATCAAAATGTTGTCACAAAAAATGTTTGATTAAATTCGCAAAGTAATAAACAAGTTACTCGACTTTTAGCGCATTTGCATGTGGGGCAGGTGAAGTCAATGGGACATGAGTTGGAAGTGCAGACTTACAGCATCGTGCTCTTGCTACCGGAAAAAAGGCATTTATTGTGATGCTGATAAGCTGTGCGTGCTCCTGTTTTGACATTTTTTTAGAAGCTTCTTAGTTATTCTAATAAAAGGAGATCTAGAGCAAGCAATATACATAGCTCAGAAGTAGGCTATGATAAAGTTGTGCTGAGATGAGATGCGGTACGCTGAGAAGAAGTGCGTTGGAAGATGAGATGGGATCAGCCTGAGAGACGTAAACTTTCTACGAGGTGGTGAGAATCTTTGTGGACATTGAGGGTCCTCTTACATCCCCCTTTTTAGAAGCCATATATGTATGTGTAGGCATTAAACTGTAATCTGCAGTCAGACTTAGAGAGTCAGGAGTATGGCGAACTCGCCAATTTAGACACGCGATGATCATCAATGAAATACAAACACGACAAAAGACCGCCTATATGGTATCTAACCTCAGCTTTAAAAACATACAAGTGAGAATCCTATCCAGAAGAGAGTTGAGTTGAGGATCGGCAGAGTGAGCGAGAATAGGCAATCTCTCTCTACATCGACGGATCAAAGATGGACTATGGTGTGCGGCAGGTATGTACTCGGAGGAGTTCGGCGTCTTCCTGTCTCTCTGTCCAGGGAATGATGAAATCTACTTCCAAGCGAGACTCCTAGGTTTCTACGGTTCTAGGAAAACGCATCGGTAGAATAAAGGAAACAACAATATACTCTGATAGCCAAGCTAGTGCAGAAGTGTAAAACAGAATTATGCTCAGTGTGTGTGTCAATAAGGGTCTCTCCTTTTTTGAGTTCACGGCCATAGGAACATTGAACACAAAGAGAAGGCTGATGGATTGGCATTGCATTTTTTGGAGTTTTTGGAGGGCATATAAAAAATTTTTAGTATTATAAAACGGTAAAATAAAAAATTGGATATTACTTTTTAAAGCTGTTTTACAAGAATTTTATACAAATTCTACGAAAATTTGTTTTTTTTTCACATAAAATACATGGGGCACTTTGAGCGGTCTGTAAATATTTTTTGATTTCCAAATTTAAAAAAAGTAATTCTTTTTCGGTATCGAACAATCCTAGGACTTCCGACTTCAATTTTTTTTTTGTACCATCCTAATGTACATACAAAAGTAGTAAGAAAATCCCAAATTTATTTTCCTCTCATCTCCTTTGCATTCCGTCAAAACTCTTTGACCTCCCTTCACACGCATTTCACACACGCTTGGGGCGTCAACAGTTTGTGACCCTATTCATACAACTGTGCAAGCATTTTTTTTCCGTTTGTCTTATCTTTTCACAAAAAAAAGTATTTTTTTAACACTTTTAAGCAGCGCTACAGAGCTACAGAGTGACAACTGCGCTAATGCATATGAAATTAAGAGCAAACAGAAACAGTAAAAAAAAAATAAATAATAATATGCAAGTATTTATAAATACGTAAAACTTTTTAAACAAATAAATATGTACATAAGTATGCAATAGTAAATGTTAATGCGTCGCACAGTGCCGCCTAAGTGGGCAAAAATCGAAAAATTCTTTGTCTGCAATGTGAAAGTGTTTGGTATTTTTGTATGCGTAATTTATCCACTAAAAATAATTAAACAGAAATTTTTCTATAAAATAAATTATATGCCGTCAGGAAGCCACTAAAGTCGAAAAATTGTATACTAAAAATTGTAATAAGAGCATAGCTATGCGTAAGCTCTTCACGGAAACAAATGTCAAAAATAAATTTTTTGAAATAAAATGTTGGTTTGACGTTTTTTATTTTCATATAGTAGAGAACTACATTTATACAAATTTAGAAATAAAATAAAACATAGGGTGTTTTTGCGGTATTCCAAAAAAAAACAAATTTTTTTAAATCAAAATTTCAAAAAACGGTAAATTTGAATGGAATTAATCAAAAATATACATATCGTTGCCTTAATATAGAAAGGCCCTATCTCACATCGTCGCTGAAATGCACAAAGCCGTAACTAACTAAAATCTTTTATTGCATAAAACGATGTGAGGCCACATAATTCGATCAAATTCATCATAATCAATTAAAACGTAAATTTTCGATTTTTAGTTAGTTACGACTTTTTGTAAATCAGCGACGATGTCAGATAGGGCCTTTCTATATTAAGGTAGCGATATGTATAAATATGTTATTTTTTATTATTAAATAAAAACCTGCTCATATCTCGCACTTTTTGAAGCAATGTGTTTTTTGCTAAAGCATAAAATAATTTTTTCATTTTTTGTCAATGCCATCAGATCTGCACGATTAATCTGTAGACAATAGAGGTTAACTTTTAGTTGCCACCTGTTAAAAAGTTAAAGTCAAATTTTTTAATAAGTTAAATGAATTATTAAAAGATGGCTATCCATCTAAATGTGTATGAAAAGGGTTCATTTCTTAACTACATGTAGAGGTTTTTTTTTTGAATTTAGCGTCCTCAATTTTACTAAGAAGCGAATTTTTGCTCACATTTTACATGGAAGAGAAGCACTGTGCGTCGTGTCGTTGCTTGTGTCAAGTTTAGCTAGTGGGCGTTTAATTTTTGTTGCTTTTATTATTTTGTAAACATTTCCATTAGACCTCTACGCCTATAATTTTTTGTTTAAATTTTGTTCTAGACAACAAGCTGTTGAGCAAACTGATAAAAATGTGAAAAGTTATGTCTACATTTACCTACTTACATATGCACATGTGTATGTATGTATGTATACACAGATATAGTATTACTTAGTTACATAAATATGTACAGAAGTACTTGCATTTGTTTATTTGAATGCTTGGATGAGTAGCTAAGCTTTTGAGATTTGCATAGGCTTCTTTTTGTTGCTTTTGTTGTTGAAGAAATTAAAGTAATGTTTTATTAAAGCTAAATTTTCAGCTCTCAAGCGAAGTCACAAGAAATATTTCTTATTATTTATGTTGCTTGAAAAACTACATAGATACTTTGCTGGTGCTGTAAATTTTCTTGAAAAAATAAAATAAAATTTTTTTATTTTATTTTTGTTTTTTATTTTATTTATTTTTGTAATTTAATTTTTCATTATTATTTATTTCATTTTACTTGAATCTAATTTGATTTTAATATATATTTTTTTTATTTCTGTTCAAATCTTACATTATTTATTTAAATTTAAATTTTGTTTTATTTTAAATTTATTTCAATTTGAAATTTATTTAGTTTTTAATTAATTTAATTTATTTTTTTTTAATTTATTTGTTATTTATGTTCGTTAAGAACTTTTTTCCAGTTTAGAACAAGAAAACACAATTTTACTAATGTTTTATTCTCACCAACAGGCAACGCCATTTTGCATTTAGCAACTCAAATGCACATACATACATACACATATGTATATGCGTACATACATATTTAGACTGCGCTAATTGCCGCAGCTTAATTAGCAATATTTTTGCCAAAAACAAAACAAAACACACACGAAAGTAGCATTATTTATGTTTTGGCACAATTAAAATGAACAGTCAGAATTTTTAACAGTATTTTTATGAGCATTGTAGTCGTAAAATTGTTTGCAACAAGACTTTTCCATTCAAATCCAAAGTAAGGCAACAAATTGTGGCAGCAATACGAGCATATTTATTTACATACATATACATACATATACATATATGTATATGTGCATGTTTTCGCCCCCGTTTTGCTGTGTACTGGCATATACATAAATATATTTTTAAAGATATGCTTATAGAGTAAAATAAATTGCAAATGTTTTAATTTGCATACTGCAGGTGTTGCCATTCGCCATTCACCATTCATTCATTGCCTTTGCTGTACTCTCGCCGCTACGACAATATTCTTAGTGGCACTTGGCGGTATCGTTGATTTTTGTTTTTTATTGTTGCAAGACGGTTGCATTACAAAAAATGAATTTATTATTTTTAACTATTATTTTTTTATGTCGTTTTTGCGCAAATGATTGCTGCCATTCAAATCGTGAATCAGTCACTTATGTACATACCCTTGTTGCAATTGTAATTTGTAATTTATAAGCACAAACATGTGTTTGTGCAAAGTATATTTGCATAAATGGCGGTTCAATAAGATGCAGATACATATGCATATATGTATGTATATGTATGTCCAGAATTCATTTGTTTTTGTGGGTTTGTGTGTGGATTTGAACGTTTGCAGTCACGACTTGTGATTGGTGAGAGCTTAATGGGGTGCTGGATGGATGAAAGTCGCCATTCACAATGCACAAATGTTTTCTAAATGCATAAATGCAAATTAGTTGCTTTTCAAGATTAATTTCCAGATAAAAAATCAGAGAAAAAATGTGGAGGATAGAAAAAGGTTTTTTAACTTTGTAATTTTCCAATATTTTGGTACATATACAGTGTACATACATACACATTAGATTCCCAAACAATGCCCAATCGAAAATTCTAGCAAAGGTTTTTCAACTACCCTCAGTCTTTCGTAATACATACAAGAATTTTTCTTGAAAATATTTTTTTTTTGGCTCTTCGAAAGGTGAATGAAAGAAATGTGAAAATAAAACACAAATTAAAATTGAAAATTATGAAATAATATCTAAAATAAATTAAAATATAATAATTAAAAAAAAAATATTTAAAAAATTTAAAAATTTAACTAAATAATTAAAATAAAATAAGGTGAGCTAAAATAAACTCAAACGAACAAAAAACAAAAAAAAATAAAGACAGTTTTTTCAAATCTCAGTAATATGTAGGTATGTACGAATTTTGTAAATTTCATTTATAGTACTTTCATTCCACGAACAATTTTAAATGACTCGCACGTGTATAAATTTCGAACTTGGCATCAATTTTCTTGAGCCATAAAATTTGCACCACAAACCAAAGACAAGCAAATTTCATAAAAATATTCTTCTAGTTGTAGAAATTTTATTGTTTAACTTTTATTGTCTTTTAGGTTTAATGAAAACATTTTCGTTGTTTGGTAAGTTTCCAAAAAGTTTGGTTCTAATAAATTAATGCGTTTATGTTGTCACATGATTTTTTTCTCAAATCTGATTGGCCGAAGAGCATGCGTATGCTTGTCCGTTTATTCATTACAATAAAAAAAAATTAAGTGAAATGTGTTAACAACACGTCTAGTTTTTATTACAGCTCGTAAATTATCAATTAAGTCACAGGAGTAGCAAAAGTGGATATAGTTTTTCATTATAGCCAATGCAAAATACATAGAAAAAATGTCCGAAACAAAAATCAAATTTTCTAATATTGCTATGTACTCTTTAGTGAGCTTTATAGCTCATGAATGTGTATGTATATACAGTCAGCGTCAAAAATATGCATACGCTGACGTTTTGACGATTTTATTTAATTATATTTTCCATACGATTTTTTTTAAATTTCTTTTTATAAAAATATATAGTTCATTCTACAGCAAAAACCACAAGAATCCATTTTTTTTAACTTTATACAGACCTCGAGCAAATTCAAGATATACCAAGATACTTTCATTGAAATTTTCTAGATCTTGTTTTAAACTGTTTTAAAATATATAACTAAAAATCGTCCCTTAAGAACAAAATAAGCTTACCCTCCGGAACCCGAAATTCGTTTATTAACATGATTCACTCCACATTTTACATGGTCGATTTTAGTAATTTGTTTTTGAAACTTACCTGGAAAGAAAAAAAAGAAAATTACAAAATTAGTGATTACTTTTTAAAATATGTAACATTCAGGTAGGCATAAAAATATTTTAGTAAAATCAGCATAAAAATCCATGTGATTTCATTCCTATAATGTTGCATTCTTTAAGATAGTAAAAAAGTTTTCCAGAATTATGAGTGCACGAGAATTTCATATTTGTTATTGCGGAGAGATCACTGCGACTTTAACGCAGGAACCCGAATTTTATAATAAAAGTCTTAAGAAAAAATGTATTTATGGACTTTCATTTTATTTGAAATAAAGTAATCGGTCAATTCGGACTTTTATTTTTTTAGTCCAGTAATAACAGTTAAACTTGGACAACTAACTATTCTCAACGGCCTAAAAGTCCGTTCCTAATAATAAACAAACCGCTTAACCAAATAAAAAAAAAAAAAAAATGGATGTTAACTATCGTTTAGAGACTTCCGTTTGAAAGGTATTTCAGTCCTCCTTTATTTGGACTGGAGTAAAAAATAAAAATCCGAATTTTTCAGTTATTATTGGACTTTTTCCCAAAAAGTTCGAAAAATAAAATGAATCTAGGGTTCTTGTCCAGCAGGACCTGGTATCAAAATCACATTGATAACTTCCTTCTACGACAATACATATTTTGCCCCGGACATTTATAACATTGAATAAAAAATAACTGTTATTTTCGGTCCCTGCTTTAGCTTCTATGTATTGTGCCCCTACATAGATTTATAACGTGTCTATTAATCCGGTATCCGGGAGGAATTTTTAATATTGAGCCTACATCTTTGAATTTCAAGGCTACCTGAGTTATAAAAAGATCGATCCTGCCGCGCATTAAGGCTAGCTTAACGACAAACTCATTTCATTCGATAGCAATGTGTCCAGAACCCAGCGAACCCGAACTAGATTGGTCAGCCTAAGAGCTTTCAACTTGCTAAGGCACTCCACCACCACCAGTTTTTTTATGCTAACTAATGATATCTGAGGACCTGAATAGCCGCTTGGCGGCACATCAAGATCCCAATGTTCTGGTTGTTGCAGTTGTTATTGATATTGAAGTTCGCAGTTTTTGCCGCGGGGTTGGTTTCTTCCCGGAAAATGGAAATGTGTTTTGCCATAGATTCCCAGATTACTGCTTTAGTCAATGAACTAAAAAAAAAAATTAGTAATATGAAAAAGAATAATCTAAAAGGGCATACCGCGGGCTATTATTATTTCGATTCTAGTAATGCATTTTAAGCTATATCTCAAGGTTTTTTTAAATGCCACTTAGTCCACTCTGGCTCTCAAGGGCTCAATTGTATGTTGGGTTATCCGGTTTGTTCCCGATTTTTCTGCCCAATTCTTCTAATTGTTAAATTTCGCTTTAAACATTTTTTGAAAACTAAAATTCGTATACATGGTCTGCCTCGGTAATGACGTATATATATATGGCCATTCAAGGTGGCGATCTATTCCCTTATAAAAAAGTGCTCTAAAAAGTAGCAGAAGATGTTTGCTATAGCATTATGAGACTCAGCAGTCATATACTCACATACATACACACATTTGAGCTATCTTTCTCTTTATCAAAAAAGTCCTAATACAGAGATTTCACATCAAAATTAAGATTCCAAAAATAAAAGGTTCAAATTGTTAGCCAAAAACACGTCGAAAAAGATAATAAAAATAGCTACATTAACAACAACAACATTTATTTAACCAACAAGTCAGCAGCAACTTACCAATCACATACGAAAATTCGTTACGGTTATAATTCAGCGCGTATATTAACTGATTGGCACACAAAAATGTTGTGTTTATTTAATTAGCGCAGAACAGTTATGACGATACAGATAAACAAAGATATTTATTCTCATTTGTCTGGCTTTGGCTAAAAAAAATTATAATTTTTTATTCAATGTGCCTCGCTCTGTTTACTAGCACAAATACTCATTTTTTATTCATACATATTTAATATATTTATACGCATTTGCGGTGAAAATTACTACATTCAACCATTCAGTTTTGTAGCTATTTCGATTGCGAAACGACTGAGGAGAGATGGCACAAGTGCTTGAAAAAAAAAATTTAAGACAAGCTTTTATTAGTGGGAAGTAAAAAATAAAAATTGGACCACCCTATCATCTAACGGCAAAATTGTTTATTTAGGTATTTCTTTCCCTTTAAGTAATATACATATGTATGTTCTAAGTATGAAACAAATCGGACTAAATATAGTGATTTTCCAAATATATCGACTCCTACGCCACCTATCGCGAGTTATTCCTTTTCATATAAGTAATATTCGTTCCGACTACGAACAAAATCAGACCATAAATACGAGTTTTAGAAATATATCGACTACAGCATTGCCATCGGGTACTCAGCTAAGTCCCTAGCTCAGCTGCAAGATTTGATTACACACACAGTTGAAACTTAATAAAAGCTTATAAGAATAGTAATACCTCTGAAGGCAAAAACAAAAAAA